ATCTCTCTTATTAATATGTTATATTAAGAAGTATTTACCTGTGTTTTCACATGAGCAAGCTGGTCCTAACTTTCCTAGGATAATCATGACAACTAAGACAAGGGCTGCTATAGAAATCAATAGAATCACAAACAGCAAAACACAACCAAGCTTTGATTCTTTGTACGGCTGAACAGGTTCCTCTTCGTGCTTTGTAGAATGACCGGTGTATGAGTCTGCACTATCGTAGATGGGATTCGCTACTCGTCGACGTGAATTCCCATTCTGTAGTCCTGGTAGTTCGGCATAAGTATGCGATGATGGATCGGTTTTATGTTCTGGATAGTTTTCATAGCCGCGGTTATCATGTCCTCGACTAAATGCAGTAGGTATTGAATCGGGTGGGCTGTCCACAGCGTACGGGCTAAACGTTGGGTTCCTATTTACGACACTTACTTGGGTAGACATTATCCAAACATTTGTCACCGAGAGACGAGAGTTAAACCGTTATTCGCATGGATTTTTCTTTGGTTTCAAAATGATATGCTTATGCGTGCAAACCAGTTCAGTAATCAACTATAATAATGAATTGTCCACTGAACCAGAACTTAACAACAAAATACCAATAAACCAAATATCTAAGCATACCAAATATCTTCATGAAGAAGACTTTTGCAACAATTGTTTAATCGAAAGTTAACGATTTAACTTGCAGTTTATTCAAGAAATGTCGTTGAAGAAGAAAAATCAGACGCGTTGTAAAAAGAGGTTAGTAATTACGTATCCCACCCACGCTCCTTGCTAGAAACTTTATTAGCAACGCTCGTCCAATAGGCCACTCCTTAGGGAATTTACTTTACAAAACCTGCTCTGAAATCATAGAAAGTAAAAACTTTACAAAATCACCCGCCAATTTTGGTTTTCAGACTGAGTAGCAATAATTTCTTTTGAATTCTTTACATATTTCCCTCATACTTGTGACGTAATTTATAAGATGACGTTATGAGCGGGGTCGATGACGTAAGATGCAGATATTTGTTCGTGTGGACGGATATTCCGTTTTCAATCTTCCAGCCATTTTTTTTTCTCCGTGCCGCAGTGGAGAATCTTTTACCATGCGAGATGTAGTTGAAAATGTATAAGCAGAGCACCATAGATGAGAGTGATCAGGAGGGCTCCTGGAGTGGCAAAACACCATTTGAAATCGTCATTTTTATACACCGACACAGGGATCCCGCACATAAGCTTTCCTTTTTTTCGAATGGAAACACATACATTTTTTAAGTGATTTCATCAATTAAACAAATGCATTTTAAGCGTCCAGTGTCGATTCAGTGATTGTAACTGTCTGGGAAATTACATTTTTTCATTTAAGATATAAGCGGACATTCTGTGTAAGTTATGTAACAGTACATTTTGTCAGGTTTAGGTAAACTAGGTAATGTATATGAGTAGGTTCCTCGCCCTAAACACAAACACGAGTAATGATTCTTGTTGTTATTAACTCTATGCAGTCGTTGCACAATGTCTGCGTTGTTTGTAGAGCACGARTAATGCAAAATCTTTTTTCCCTGAAACGAAAAAGCAAATCTATTTTGTTTATGTAACGGTCCAGATTTCCGGTATTATGAAAAGACATGGATGGTGTATTATGTAGGGGATGTCGGTAGGGATCTTTATCTCGGTTGGACATGAAGGCCGGACTAAAAGTAAAATAGTGCTATCGAGCTGACAATAAAAAATTGTGAATTTCTTTGGTTTCTCTATAAAGTCTTGATCAGTTATAAAGATGTTAGAAGTACACGTACCGTTTCTTCTATTATTTCTATCTGTTGTTTTGCCGTGTCGACAAGCGGRTCTGTGCCAGGCGATTCATCAAACCTCACAACGCACTGTGTCAGATTCCATATAATAATAATTATATTAATAATYAAGACAATGTTTCCTGATTGGTTATCAAATATACGTTAATGTAAAATACTTCTAATAATGATAACACAACAACAACAATTTATTAAGACGACTCTAAATACAATTACAGGTAAATCATGAAATCAGGCCTCGCAGTTAGTCTGGGACTATTCGAGGCGAAGGCGATAAGAAAAAGAAAAGAAAACTTGACAGTTATCTTGTTAACAAGATACTATAGTCAGGTTATTGTACGCCAGAAAGCTAGGAAAAATAACATCACACAAAATAGCAATATTCGACCGAATTTCACGATAGCTCATAATAACATCAGAAGTCTTAATAAGAATCAGTCACGAACAATTTCAGAACCACGTTTTGATGAGTTAGACCTTGAAATTAGTCTCATAGGCATTACTGAAACGAGAATTTTGAGTTATCGATGTTCTGTATAAATAATCAGTAATTTTCTAACAAAATCATACAAATCAGTAATGAACAGATCTTTTGTCACTTTGTCAATTTTGTACAATTTTTTATAAGGTATATTTTCACTGGAAAAAATCGCGCACTTTAAAGGGTTGAAAATTTGATATGAATATTATTTAAACGTCCACCTTTAAAGTGCGCGATTTCAGTTTCCAGTGTTCACGGCCATAATAAATGCACAGTTATTATATGAAAGTCATGAAGTCACTAAGTATTGATAAAGTCAGCATTATGTATAGGTTAGTTTACCTGTTCATATTTATCATCATGGGTCTTCTCGTGCTCACTAAGTTTGTCCCTCGTTTCATTGAATTGTCGCCATAATGCTGCATTATCATTGTCTCTTTGTAGGGTTTGGATTTGATTCTTGGCGTTATTCACTTGATTTTTGGCGTCATTCAACTCATTTCGTAAATCTGATATCTTTTTGTYCTGAAATTGTTAAATAAAAATTCTGTAATCCATTAGCACATCTGACATTCATTAGGACCCACTGACCACTCATACATTTCGACTTTTACTGGTGAAGAAAAAAGACTCAGAAATGAACGAGCATCCAATTGCAAAGTTTACCTTTATATATGAAGATTGTAAAGCCAATGCCTC